CACTTTCTGCAGCTGATTGCAGTCTATTGCTGCTACATGGCATTTCCTTATTCTGTTGAAAACAACAGGTCATGTTTTTACCTGCTTAGAAATCTGCAAAGCTAATATTAACTGCCTTGTGGTTTAGCACAGACCACATCGGAAGTTCAAATCCAGACCTGAACAAATGCTCAGACTGCACAAGTAAAGACCACAGGATTTAGCAGCGTGCCTCAAAAAGCCAGCACTGAGTGTGAACACTGGGAGCCCAATAAGTGTTTCTGAACGCCAGAATGACTTTTCGGCTCAGTTTATCTGAACCAGCCTCTCTTAACGCACTTCTGTAGCAATGTATGCCATATATTGTAGAAATATTACGAATGGTGTTAGGGAGAATGTAGCCAGGAAGAAATGCACAGTAATGGTGCTGTCACCCTGCTGCAGGCCCTACAGATGGTTGCTTGAGTATCTAAGGCTGGTTTGGCAATAATAGAGATTTTACTAATGGGTATTGTATTGATGTGATTGATACTAATATATTGTACAGAGCTTTGGTGTCCACAAGAGTGATTGAAAAATGGAGCATGAAGAAAAGCAGCTACCTTTAATGCTTCTGGGGGGTTAATATTAATATACCTTACAGTCAGAATCTTAAAACAACTCAGTCTATTTGGCTTACCCAAAACATTGAAAGACAATTGCATTACAAAATATAAGTAGTTTTCTGGGAGGAAACACAAGGTACTGATCAGCTCCTTAAGCTAACAGAGAAAGCTGTAAGGAGGCCAAGCGGCTGGAATATTAATTCAGGCTTCTTCAAAGGAAAAACTAAGCACCACCTTTTACTGGAGGGCGTAAATAGCCGCTGGGAGAAGTGGAAGTGCTGACTTCTCCTGCTCATGATATTTCCAGATGACAACTAGGTATTTTTCGGAAGATACACCTTAGCATAATACAAGCTGTCCTTCTGTCATGCCAAAGTTACGGGACCAGTATGGAATCTGGAGGGTGTCCGAGACCTTGTGAATCCGGTGTCGGCACTTCCCGGCGCTGCCCAACGGTGGATGTCGGGCACTGCTGCAGGGAGGAACGGGCAAGTTTTCAGCCGTATCACATAAGTCCTGCTTAATCACTCTTCACGATTAAATATTTACAATAAGAATTTATTCATCATTAAAACCATAAATAAAAGGTTTACAGAGAAAGTCAGAATGGTTCAGCTGGGAAAGAGCACTAATTATTTTCACCCTTGTGGGTTTTTCTGCATTCAATTGAATTCAACTTGAATTTTGTCATGGTTTAACCCCAGCCGGCAACTAAGCCCCACCCAGCCGCTCGCTCAGTCCCCCCCAGTGGGATGGGGGAGAGAATCAGAAAAGTGAGAAAACTCGTGGGTTGAGATAAAGACGTCCCCCCTTCCTCCTTCTTCCCCCAGCTTTATATGCTGAGCATGACACCATACGGTGTGGAATATCCCTTTGGTCAGTTGGGGTCAGCTGTCCCAGCCATGTCCCCTCCCAACTTCTTGTGCCCCCCCAGCCTGCTCGCTGGTGGGGTGGGGTGAGGAGCAGGAAAGGCCTTGACTCTGTGTCAGCACTGCACAGCAGTAACGAAAACATCCCTGTGTTATCAGCACTGTTTTCAGCACAAATCCAAAACATAACCCCGTACTAGCTACTGCGAAGAAACTTAACTCTATCCCAGCCAAAACCAGCACAATTTCAAAATGAAAATATTGAGATAAACTCCCGCTTTCATGTGAGTACAGTTGGTGTAATTTCTTATTCAGTGTGAAGCCTGAAAAAGAATAAACACTCATCTAATCATTTACGGTCATAATTTAGGCCCTGAGCAACAAAGTAGTTAAGCAGGCGATAAAACTTTAAGCAGTCAAGCGTTCCCACCGACTCCAGAAGGATTATTCAGAGGCCCGAAGTGAAAAGTTGTTTATTGGGAGTAAGGGAAGAGCAGAATTCACATGCGCTGGAAGCTGAGTCATGGTGCCCGAGCTGGGGAGGATGATGAGAGTTTACGATCTGGGGCGCAGAACGCAGAGCTCAGTCCCTGCACGGCCACTGGCTTGCAGGGGGTGATTCCCTGGCTTGCAGGGGTTTTGTCTGACCTAGGAAAAGTCGCATCACTTTGTCTAGTACTGCCCCAATGATCCAACCTGATGCAAGTGCATGTGAGTGTGGCACAAAATCAATTACCTGAGTTGCTCATCCACTTTTTATTTGAACATTTATAAATAGTTTGAATAGTGAAAATTATTTAACCTTAGAAAGTAAGTTAGCTGGGTTTCAAAGAGACATTTAATGAGCTTACATTACCCAAGGTACTCTAAAACCAAGTATATTTCAAATCAAATACAAATAATTTTGGCTGGGATGTAACTTTTTACCTTGCTAGTAAAAAGCTCCCATTTAGGCGTTTTTCTACCAACAGGCACAACTAGGAAGTGATATTCCATAAAATCTCCTTCCTGATGAGAAGAAAATAGGAAAACAGGTAAGTGGCGCATGCACACCGGACACTGCTACACAGCGGGCTTGTCCACCACCGGCAGATGAGCAGTTAGGGCCAGGGGCGAGAGCGTCGGACAGAGATGTGGAGACCAGGCTGCTCCCCAGCTCCAGTGTGCAGGCGATGTGGTTTCTCCAGAGCTGTAGCACAAGTTTTAAAGAACATCCTCGTGCCAACAGTGTAAACACCCAACAGCTGCTCCTCACGAGCCTCAAACCACCTCCTGCTCCAGGCACCTCCCACCAGGAAATGAATGTGAGTAATTTCTGAACCGGTGGGGAAAGTCTTAGTGATGAATATTGCCAAAAAGCTAAACTTACTGACGGTCACGTGATGCAAAAGTTCTGAGGATGGTTTTGTGTAAGGAGAAGCTGTTTGCTGCATAAGCGGAAAGGAAATAAGCAGAATAACAGGAAGGAGATTGTCGAGTCTTCAGCAGTATTGCAGTTATTCTTCCAAATTTGCACAGCTGAATATTTTTTTTTTTAAACATCCATCATATTCCTAGTATAGAATATGACGTTTAGCATATCAGGTGATCCTTGTGGCATTTTGTGCATAGGTGGCATTGTAAGATAGCGTCATCCTCAAAATGGCAATTTTTCATCTCCTTTGAAATCTTGTCTTTTTTTTTTTGTTTTTGGGAAGGGCAGATATAAGGAAAGATAATGGGACCTATAACCACTGCTTGTTTTCTCTGCACTATCAATATATGACTATCACGATCATAATTACATCTAAATAAATCTAAACCCATTCAAACTTTATATAATGCCATCAATAACCCTGAAAATAAAGAAATGCATTTTACTGAGTACAGTAAGACTTTGTATTTGTTGTGCTATTCAAAACGCTTGAGCGTTTTTTTCACAACCCAGCTTCATGTTTAAGATACTATCCAAATTCACCGCTCATAGTGTATGGCAGCAATTTCATTCATGCTCAACTCCATTGATTTTAAACTTACTACAGCCAGAATATAGCAGAGATTAATATCTGTACCATCTGAATATCATCCAATACTATCTAAAGGACTGACTAAATAGGAAATAATAAACAGATAAGAAGTTAAAATGCCCTCGGTGTTCCCTCAAAACGGATAAAAAGACACACCTCTGAACCTATATATGCTTGTAAAGGAAACAAAAGCTTTAAATTCTCATCTTGTAAGTTACATCTCATCTTTGGAGAAGATGAAAAAAACATTAGTCAAAGGATTTGACTGAAAGTTTCAGAACCAGGGATGGAAACTGAGGAGCCCTCCTGTCCCCCCCGGAGAAGGGCTGGACGCGGGTAGCTCCAGAAGTGCCCCAGAGCTGCCCCCGAGGAAGCAGCAGTGCCACCAGCTGCGCAGCAGAAGCCGCAGGAGCCCTCTCTCCCTGGGAAGGCTGCTGCAGCCTGCGAGTGATTCCTGCCCGTGGGTTGTTGTCAGGAGTAGCCCAGATAAGGAAGAGCAGCGTAAGCCCAGAGCGGAGTCCACGAGGCCGGGCGGCCTGAGGGGAAGGACGGCTCTGACTTCAGATCAAGCCGCTCTGCTTCTTGGTGTCCTCTGCCCCCAAAGTCCGTGTTCGGCTGGGTTGTATAGATAGCCCAGCGTCTGCTCTTCACATGTGTGGGCTGTAGCGGGGTAGACATTGGACCTCTTTGTACTTTTAGCACATATGCAAAGTTTTAAAAACTCTCCCTAAGTGTTCACAAAGTCAATCCAAATAATTTAAGTGTTCTGGTTTATTGCCGACCCTAGTAACAGGGTCAAATGATTCAGCGAAAACCTTTCTTGGTATAATCCTCCAGAGGTAGATGAATACACAGTTGATGGAGTTTGAATGTGTTCCCAAGCTGCTGCATCGGTTGGGTCCAAAAACTCGCAATAAATGAATTTAATCAGGAAACATCGCTCTGATATGAATGTTTAATGGCACTGATTTATACTTTCAGCTGCCAAAGTCAGGAGCTAGCATAGCAGTCGAGGCCCCAGAGGGCTCAAGGTTTCAGAATAAATAACTCTCCTTGGAGATTAAAGTGTTGCAAGAGATGTTACTAGATGGGCAGAAGGAAAGTTTTGCCTCCTACTGAAGCGGTTAACCCAGCACAGGACTAAACTATTCAAATGCAATTGAAAATGTTTCTTTTAAAAGCTGTGTTCTGACAAGTATACTCCTTTAGACCACTGGCCTGTTGTATTTTCAATAAGTTCCTCCAACGATTCATTTCTGTTGTCTTGTTTTTTTCTCTCACCTGCTAAAAACCGCGAGCTAGTAGCACTTGCAGGAGTGCAGGGCCAGCAGCGGGTCTCTGAGCTGTGCTGTAAAGCCACAGGCAGGTACCGTGGCTCTCTGCAAGGGCACAAGTCCTGTGGTTAAGAGGTATTATTTGTAAAGCAAGTTTGATTGCAGAATAGCAATTCCTTCTTAAAATTGAGGCCATCTAGAAGAACATTCTGTAAACCTGTGTGGTTTGGAGGATTACAGACAGTATGAAAGACGAGAGAGAGGTGGTTGGAGAAAGAATCTGTGGTTTACTGCACTTACACACACAGACCTGGTGTACAAAACTGCAGCCCACGCCATCAACTTAGACTGCAACAAATGTTTGTCCCAGCTGTGGATTTCAACCCTTGTTCCTCTCAAATAGACAGTCTGTCACCTTTTTGTTGTCGTTACCTTGTTGTCTGAACGCCCTGCTTTTTGAAGTGCCACATTGACCAGTCTAACATCTGAAGTCCGATAGTCCTGCAATACGCACAGCAAAAGCTGCACGAGTTGCAGGCTGTCCTACCCAAAGCTCTGCTGGTGTTCCTCAGCTTTGGTTTGCAAGGTGCCATTCCATCCTTGGCTCCTCTGCTACGATCAGACAAACCTGATTTTTGGATGTAATATATGCAAACATACAGAACACATGCAAAATATGTCTAAATATGTCCAGGTTACAAAGGGAAGGACTTAGGAAATGTCAGATTAAGTTTGCCCTGGAGTAGCTTTTACTGAGCTCCTTAAGGATATATGCATTGTATGACTTACTTGTATTAGTAATCATACTATTTTTATATAGGCCTCCTGCTGGGTTCAGTAGACAGCCTGGACGTCCGTTCTAAAGACTCAGGGCTGGGCGAAGAAGGGCATTCATGTTGTTAAAACGCTTTCATTTATTGCAGAAGTTGCAAGGAGCGGGTTGAAGCGGTTTGCAGAAAGAGGACAGGTGATTGAAAAGCAGCCGAAAAGTTCCTTGAAAAATGAAGCACATCCCTCCGTTAGCTACAACTGCCTGATGGTACCAGGTGAGTTACTTCAGCCAGGCTTTCACAGACACTCCTTACCTACATCTTCCACTTGCGAGCGATGACGATACACTCATTAATGTTGTGAGGCGTTCAGATAACCCAGAGATGAGTTCATGGCAAAGCCCAGGAGAAAATGACCGCTTCCATCTGCAGAGGAAGATCTGATGAGCGTACAGTAAGTGAGGCCATCAGCCACACGCTGAGCGAGGAGGACAAGACAATGTCCTGACCGGCTGGTGCAGGTGGGGTGGAACGGGCGCACCTTCAGAAGCCAGTCCCAAGCTCCACAAACCAGTACGGCCCAGCTCACGAGAGCTTGGTTTTCCCACCTTCAGCGGCCATTCCTCAGTGTAGCTTTTGGTCTGTAAATTCCTTAATTTTTTAAAATAGAATGAAAATTCTCACATGAAAATCTTTTTTTTCCAATCCCATTCCTTCCATGAGCAGCATTGCTTTTTCTAATCAGTTTCTTTTTACTGTACTTCAGTATCTTTTCCCAGCCCCCCAAAAAAGGTTAATCAGAGGCAGATACTTAGCGTGGAAAATTTCAGTGTGGGTAATTAAAGTTTAATTTAGCTTTGCAAGCTACTGAAAAAAGGGCCTTACAAAGGAAAACGTTAGCTACCGTTAACTGTAGGCAGCACTTTCAGCTCCACTGTCAGGTATTTCCAAAGGACCAGGTACTACATGTGATGGCTTTCTGTAGAGGCTTTTCAAAAGGCTCCCTCTTTCTTTGCTTTTGCTCAATAGAAAGGGCTTGGCTTTTCCCTTCCGCGCGGCCACCCCACCAGGCGCGGGGCGGGGGAGGCGGACACACCAGAGCCCTTCGTCCTGCGCACCCACAGCGCCTGTGACCGAGAACAGCTCGGGGACGGTTCTGCTGGAAGAGCGCGGAGGACAGAACTTGGAAGAAGATCTGCTGCGAGAAAAATGGTGCCCAGATCCTAGCCTGCTGGTGATCCAAGCTTTTATTTATGGCAGCTGTAGTATTTCAGGTGGAGTACAGATCCCACACCGGCTAGCCAAGTCCATAAAGGGTGTGCATTTGAAAAAAATGTATTTTATTTTCTTGACTTTTGTGTGATTGGGGAAATC